TTATCTACAACCCACATTACTGCTTTATCATCAGATTACCTCAATATATTCATATTGTCCAAAAGATGCTCAAGACACTATCAAGTGAAACAACATCTCACCAGTCTAAGTAATTTATCATAAAGTGAAATAGGATCGGTTAAATAGGATTTAGTACTAGACTTGGTGAAGCCATAAATGCTCAATCTACTGTGTAATTATGCTACTAAGAAGCTATAAAGTTTATATATATATATATATATATATAAACTTTATATATATATATATATGTTTTCTATCAAAATAATTATATTTAAAAAGTTTTGGTGATTAGAAAATAATCTTTAGTTACCTATGGAATACTTCATTTTCCAGTGAAATATTTATATTGTATAAGAATGAGTTATAAAAATTATCACTGAATACTGCATACAGAAAATCTCAAAAATTTAAGATTTTCATATATTGTTAAAAAGAATTTCACATATTCATTGAAGTCCACCTAAAAGATATATAACAAGTTTAACAAAATAGATGGGCTTTGTAAAAGAAAAAAAAACCCAGAAATAATATATTAAAATATATTATATTTATTATATTATATTATATTAACATATTTAGTGACTAAACTTCAAAGGGGTGGGTGGGAGGATGACAGGTTTTACAGGCAAATCATGATCTAACAGCATATTTAAATTGAGGCAGCATATTCACATACTATAGTACCAGTAGCACTAATCCTCCACATTGCCTATTGGGGCAGTAGCTCGTAAGATGTTGTTGAGATAACTGGCTTCCATTAGCAAGTATGTGATTGGCAGGATGATAAAGTCTTTTCACTCACAGGTCAGCTATTTCCTTTTCTTTAGACCAGGGCAATCCTGATGATCCATCTTTTAGCTACAGTCTCTCATTGAGTCCCAATTCTCTTGCCTTCAGCTTTGATACGGTTCTAGCTTTCCTCTTGTATTAGCTCATACTTGTCATCAACTCCTCTATTCAGTAGAGCAAATATCAGGAGTTTGACCTCAGGGCAAAGTCCGGGTGGGCAGGTAAAATTTGACCACTGGACCTACTTCCTAATCTTTCATACCCAGCAATTCATGAAGCAGTATCAAATTCAAACTAAAAAACAGAAGCATGACCTCTTATAAGTACTATGAAAAGGGCTCTTTTGCCTTTCTAAGTATACTTGAAAAGAACTGTCAGCTGCCCTATTAAGACAGAAATGGATCACAGGCTAGAAAAAAAAGAAGGAAAAGTGCAGAAACTGAACTAAAATGTAAATAAAGGTATTAGCACCCCTTTTATGTTTAGTGATATACTATTTCATAAAAGTGTAAAAACACTATGCCTTAAATATCTTTATGAACCCAGAAAAAAAGCATTATTGAAATTTTAGGGCATTCTTATTTAAATAATCACTAACATCTGATGCAAAAAAAAAAAAACTTGTATATTCTCATGTGAGGCTTTTGTTTTCAAGTTTAGTTTTATTTTTTGGCCTATTCTCATACTTGGCATTTTGCCACTTGTTTATAAATTAATTTAAAAAGCAAATATAGCTGAAAATACCATTTTAAATAGATTAACTACTGAAATCATAAGTTATGATTAAGTTATGCTACAGTGATCAAATAGCTAAGAACAAGAATTACTAACCATTTTAGAATATGAAAGTAGAATAGAATATGACCAGATTTTAACATTAATAATCAGAGAAGGGCTGAGGTTGTGGCTTAGTGGTAGAGTACTCACCTAGTACTGGGTTTGATCCTCAACACCACATAAAAATAAACAAATAAAAATAAAGGTATTGTGTTCATCTACAACTAAAAATAATATTATAAAACAATAATCAAGGAAAAATATTTTATGCCCTTTTAAAACTAGAAGAATTCTCATGAAAATCAGAGAGACCAACAGAATAGAGGAAAGGGTCCAGAGAAGAGAGGAGGTAAGAGAAAGGAGAAATATTGGGGAATGATATAAATGATACCAATTATATTGCTATATATATTCATCTACAAATATGTAACAACAAATCCCATCATTATATATGATTATAATGTGCCAATAAAAGTCCAATTTTCTATTCACTGGTCTATAATACTGCATATTTACTACCATACTGCAGAATTGTGTTTAATATTTACATAGTAAAATTTTTTAATTCAGTTAAGTCTATTAAACAAATTATACTGATAAGGAAAAGCCAACCAGGACTTAATGTCTTCTAAGTGTACATACCTGAAAAGTAAATCAACCAAAATGACTTGAGATATTATTAATATTTAAAAGTATGCCTTAGTGACAATTCCCTAGGGAGTTATATTCTTGTAAAAAGGACTTTTATGCTATCAGATATCAATGGTCTTTGAAGAAAGAAAGTAACTGAATCAGAGGGTGTTTTGTTGTTGTTGTTGTTGTTGATGATGTTTATTTGTTTTGGCTGGGGAGTGAATCCAGAGGCATTTAACCACTGAGCCACAACCCCAGCCCTTTTTATGTATTTTATTTCGAGACAGGGTCTCACTGAGTTGCTTAGGACCTCAATAAATTGCTGAGGCTGGCTTTGAACTCATGATCCTCCTGTCTCAACCTCTCAAGCCACTGGGATTACAGGCATGCACCACCACACCTAGCTGAATCAGAGTTTTTAATCTAAATCGAACCAACTATCTATCCGGACAAATCATGGAATGGAATCATTTTTACTTTTTTATTTTTTCCCCAGGGCAGGAGGATAGAACCCAGGGTCACTGAGTTATAACCCCAGCTTACTAGGAACAGAATTCTTCAAGTTTCATAAGCCCATGGCCCTACTCACAATCCTACAATGAGATTAAGAACTAGTTAATATCATTAAAACTAGTTAATACCACCTTAATTCATATAACACAAAATATCATGTAATAGTTTTCAATTTTTTTTTTTTGCAAATTCTTTGTGTATTATGGAACTTATCCTCAAATCATCCCCTCTTAAAGTTGTCCTTTGGGGTTAGAGAACATACTATGTTCTTGCAACAGGAAAACTTACCCCAGGTAAGCTGCATAACCTACTTGGAAAACAAAAATACAATGAAACCTATTTCCAACTTGCTAAAGAAAACAGTTTTCTATATTAGATCATTTTGTTCAGGGAAACAGAACTGCAATAGAGAACTTCTTCTACAGGAAAATGACTTACTGCCAGTAGAAAGAAATCTCTTCTGTTAAACTGAAATGGAAGTGGAGAGTCCATTTCCTTTATTTCCTAATAATTTTCCCAACTTAGCAATGTCAATCATCTATAGATCTAAGCCATTCATAAGAGTATTCTTAGTTTGACATAATATCTGAGCACTGAGCAAACAAAAATGTTTAGTGCTATACAGACATAATATGGGGACAGAAATGGCCGTTTCAGTTTCCTTCTAAACCTGACTTAAAGATATACCACTTAATTCCACATGTCTAATTGTCTCATAAGGATTCCTACCCAGTTCGTGGGTATTTTACTTCTATAAAGAATCTTTAAGCTCCACAAGGATGAAACTATCTCTATTACTCTTCTGTCTATTTCAACCACATTTCCTCTCTAAACAATGTATATATAGCCATTAAACACCAGTTGGGAATTAGAGCAAAAATAGATCTATCCTCAAATATTTACTGAAATCAAAGTTCCTTAACTGCTCAAACTGGCCATCTGCAAATATCATTATGGTAGAGTGTGTCATATCTATAGAGCTGCACCCCAGTCATATTCATCCCCCAAAGGGAATGGGCATCATTAGGAGACTGATAACACAATGCCTTTGTTTTAATTCAGTCTCCATATGGTTCTTGCCAAGCACTCCTGAACCCTTGAACTCAGATCATCCCCTTATGCACACCCTTGTGATTCCCCAGCTCTATTAACCTCCTTAACCATAGAATTAAGGAAAAAAAAAAAGAAAAGGGGAGAAGGAGGAAAGAGAAAGAAAGATATAAAATGAAAAATATGGAAGATGGAAAAAGAAAAAAATAAAACAACAAAGCAGAAATGTCAGAGTTGTAAAATGAAAGGAAGCAGGAAAAAAAGATTTTCACACTTGTTATTAAACTTAGAGTATTATGATCAAAAAAGAATTATGCAAATATCTAGTAACAATAGTAATAACATTATTATATAATAATACATATTTTATTATATATTCTTTTCTTCTTCTTCTTCTTCTTCTTCTTATTATTATTATTATTATTTTTGGTGCTAGGAATTGAATCCAGGTTTGCTTAACCACTGAGCCACATTCCCACATTTTTTATTTGAGACAGAGTCTTGCTAAATTGCTAAGGGCCTCACTAAGTTGCTGAAGCTGACTTTGAATTTGCAATCCTCCTGCCTCAGCCTCCGGAGTTGCTGGGATACAGGTGTGCACCACCGTGCTTGGCTTATTGGGTGTGTGTGTGTGTGTGTGTGTGTGTGTGACTGAGGATTAAACCCAGGGCCTTGTACATGCTAAGTGAGTGCTCTACCACTGAGACACCCCCAGCCCTCTAATTAATTTCTGAAAATTAGTTTCATCTTTCTGAAAATATATAAAGTTTGTAAAAACAAACAAAAAAGGCGTTCTTTACACCACTGGCAAAATTTTAAGCAAGGGGTTACTTTTAGGTTGTAATAATGTACATTTAACTTGGGTCCTGAAATTAATGTTGCTACCATCAATTTTAATATATGGCCATGAAATTCTTAAGAAATAAACTTCAACTGTCACTAAACAAAGCATAAATAAACTTCAATTGCCACTAAACATTATACCTGTGCTTTGCAGGTATAATGACTAAATTAAATATTAATTGTGAGAATGCTCTATAACACTGAGACATTGAATGAATATAGGTTCAGAGAGAAATGCCAAATACATGGCTATCAAGAAAGCATTTTTCAAAAGGTTGTTTCAAAGCAAACAAGCACTCATGTAGCATTAAAAATAAAAAAGATATGAGATAAGATAAAAGGTAGTAAATGAGAAGTACATTATTATATCTTACTTGTCTGAGGTCAATAAATGCTAGCTGTAAGGTATCCCCCTGGAATCCTGGCACAGGCTCAGAGCTGGCAAACACTATTAAAAACATAAAAATAAATTAAAAGGAATTAAAACAAGATTGTAAAATACACATGAGTTGAACTGCTAAATTTTACTCATTACACATATATTATAATATTTACATATAACCATTTCAACTATTTATAACTTCAAATTTCTACTAGTGAGAATGTTTTCCACACCCATTACCACAAATATTTTAATAATGTTAAACTTCTAATCTGCCATTTAATCACTGTAATCCTTAATCACAATAAATTTAGCAGGGTTATCCAACATGCAGTTCAAAAGTTGTAATACACTTCAATCAAGGCAAAATTTTTTGACTCTTTTTAGCCTTAGGTGAATGATTATAGAAACATTTTGAAACTATACCAATTCCATGGCTGTCAACATATTCCAAACATTTGCTTTGTTATACAATAGGCTCTACAAAAATCTTACCTCTAGCTAATAGCAATAAAAGGCAGACACCGAGATAAGAAGTCAGCTTTACATGCAGACAACAGGTAAAATATCCAAAGCAGAAAAATCATGATTCAAGAATGTATACTCACATCTTTTAATAAATTGTTTTCATAAAGGAATCTTGTTTCTTTAAAACTAAAAGATATCTTAATATTTTAAACATTCAAAATATCTTTAATTCTTTGCATTTAAAATAAAAATTTTAATACTATGCACACAGCTTTAGTTTAACTAAAGATAATCTCAACAATATTAGTTATTTTGAAGACAAAGCACTCTGGGTTCATTAAAAAAAGACCTCATTATTTTTGTTTCTGTGCTAAGAATGTTTATACTCATTCTCCCTCCACATTAATATTATAATTTTTCTTAGAACATTATGAATTTTCCTTTTTGTATTTAACTGAGCCAGTACGTTAGAAGCCATTAAAAATTTCAGCCTTTATGGTTCTTGGAATTAAAAAAAAAAATCTTAAATTTAATGGATTCTGTGTGAAGCATACTTTAGGAAGACACAAAATCAATAGTTAAAATCAGTAGATGCAACTTTAGCACAATTTAATTTATCTGGCATCTTTGGGGAATAAGGAGTAAAAACAAAGTTTTTGTTGTTGCTGTTGTTTTTAGATGATAATTTTTGCTTTAAGTAAAATTTTTCTTTAATCTTCAGCATTTTGTATAGAATTAAAAAATGTACTGTAATATTTTCTTACCTCTTATTTTTAAAATACATTATTTAGATTTTTTGTAACTCTCTGAATTACCATTAAGAATATTCCATCCACCTCCGAGGGCGTTGGGCATGCTGAGCTACACTCAGCTACTTGGGAAGCTGAGGCAGGACTATAAATTTGAGATCAGCCTGGATAACTTAGTGAAGATCTGTCTCCAAAAAAGTGCTAGGGAAGTAGCTCAGTGGAAGAGAACTTGCCTAGCATGCATGAGGCCCTGAGTTCAATCCCCAGTGCCAACACACACACACACACACACAAATTACAGTTTAATCTCCATTGGCTTGGCATTAAAGCCAAGAGCTTAATTATAAAACATCATAAATTTATACATCATTTTATCATAATACTTTATTTTAGTAAACAGGGCATACAAATGATGGATCATAAAATCTTATACCTAAAAGTGACATCCCTGCCTTTGGAAATATCTCCAACAGTCCCCTGAGGGCTCAGTTTAAAAGTTACCCAGTCCTTCATTTTAAATGAAAAGTAAAGTGACTTGCCCAGAATCACATAGCTAATTCTGGTCTCCTGGCATTCAATCCATTGATCCAGATCTTGATTAAGAATTTAGTTTCTCATCTTTTATCTCATTTTTTATGAGAACTTAACTAATACAGAGAAACGCACTGATTTATAACTCTCAGGGATTTTTCTCAAATATTTTTAAGGAATAGGAATTTAACAACCTGATAATCACCTGACACAGAGGACATTTGTAAGAATATGCTAGTCAGTTTGATTAGCAGCTTCATATTCTTTTCCTTTAGTACTTTAAAACTTAAGTGTACTCAATCTTACCTTTAAAAATCTCTTAAATCTATATCTGTCTCTACCTCAGTTCAAGCTATCATCATATCTTGTTGGATTATTAAAAGCACACTCCCATCTGGCCTCCCTATTTCCTCTGTGCAACCTCTTCATCCACTTCTCCCAATGTGATTTATGTAAGATGTAAATGTGATTTAGGCACTTCAAAGTAATATCATTTAATGTTTCACCATCACCTTCACAATAAAATAACAAGATTAAGGTCCTTTACAACCTGTCCTTTGCCTATCTTTCTAGCCTCATGTCTTACCACTTTTCTAGGGGCATCTTAAACTTTTCATATCAAATTAACCTGTACTTCCTTGCATACCAGTCTATCTCTCCTGTCTTTGCCTTTGATCCTTCTGCCTAGAGTATCTTTCTATTCTTTTTCACCAAAATAATAACTCTTACTTATCCACCAATTCAATCATCACTTTTCATGGGAAGAATTCCATTATCCCTGCAGATTGGGCTAAATCCTTCCTCTGGACTCCCATTGCAACTTCCTGTGTAAACCTTTCCTCAGCACTCATTTTTGTTGCTTATAACTGTCTGGGTCTCCCCAACAGACCATACTCCCTGAGGGTAGGGACTATACTTCCATTTCTCATTTCTATGACCTAAATAAGAAATATTTAATGGAAGTTTCTCAAGTGAATGAAAGAAAACTGAGCAAGCAATAAATTCTAAGAGGATGTCATTCAGTCTTGGTAATTAATATACTATCTGGGTTGCTGATTAGATAAAAAATAACACTAGCACTTTCTGCCATATGGAAATATTCCATAACTGCACAGAACACAATTTTTAGTTTTATGTCACTTAAACACATACACACTTTTTTTTTTCAGTGCTGGGGATCAAATTCAGGACTTTGCACATGCTAGGCAAGCACTCCATCACTGAAATACATTCCCAGCCCATTAATTTAAATTTAATAGCCATATGTGGCTATTGGATAGTACAAACCTAGAACATTTCGTGCATACTTAGTGTATTTATATCAGAATAAATCAGTGTGGGTGAGAACATTCCTAATGCATTCTTCAATAAAAATTGAAGAATTTCCACTTCCTGGAAAGTAGAGCTGTTTTTGTTTTGTTTTTACCTTTCATATCCTGTGCCTGGTTACAGGAAATCTTAACAAAGTATGTGCTAAAGGAATTATCAGGGATATAAAGAATTCATTTCTAATATTGTTTAATGGTCCCAGGCCATTGTTTAATGGTGTTGATGTGTGTGTGTGTGTGTGTGTGTGTGTAAGAGAGAGAGAGAGAGATACTGGGGATTAAACCTGGGGATACTCTACCACTGAAATACATCCCCAGTCCTTTTTATTTTGAAACAGGGTCTCACCAAGATGTCCAGGTTGGCCTGAACTTGCAAGCCTCCTGTCTCTCCTCCCAAGTAGGTGGAATTACAGGCAAATGCCATCACACTTGGCTAATGATCCCAGTAATTCTTGAGGTACATGTCAAATTTTTAAAGAACTGTTGACTAACTTTTGAAGTCTTTTGAATTATTATTTAAATTCCTTCTTAGTTCATTCAGATTCTCATTTTGTGTATGTGATTTGTCATATCCTGGGGTTTACTTATTCTACTCCTTTGGGCCATCATATAATTAAAAATATAATGCCTACTTCCCTAAAATGGTATCTCTTGTCTTCACAGTTTAGCCTTGCCTTTAAGGATATTTTTTTAAAAACATAAATTGATCCTGGTCCTAAATAAAATATTTTATTTACTTTAGAAATTTTTAAACAGACTATTCTGAATCTTTGTTTTCTTCTAAATTTTTATTGCCTCCAATATGGTCATTTTTAAAAAGACAAAATAACTTGATAATAAATTAATTTCCTACTATTTTCTGCCATATGGAACTTAGAAATAATAAATGATTCTATGTCTAAAAGTACTCCAAAAAAAGATTCCAGAGAGAAAAGTCTGATCTTGGAAATATCTATGATAAGTAATAGAATAAAAGTCTGCTATGTCAGTCTAAGTAGGAGGAAGACAGAATCAAAGCAGATGAAACTGAGAAGAAAAAGTAATTCATTTCAGGTGGAATTTTTTTGGGTCTTCTAAATATAAATCATGTTATCTGCAAACAGGGATAGTTTGAGTTCTTCTTTTCCTATTCGTATCTCTTTGTTTCTTTCTTCTATCTATTTGCTCTGGGTAGCATTTGAAGGACTATATTGAATAGAAGTGGTGAAATAGGGCATCCTTATCTTGTTCCAGTTTTTAGAGGGAATGCTTTCAATTTTTCTCCATTTAGAATGATGTTGACCTTGGGTTTATCACATAAAACTTTTACAATGTTGAGGTGAAGAGAGAGCTTACAGAATGGGAGAAAATCTTTGCCACTTGCACCTTAGACAGAACATTAATCTCCAGGATATATAAAGAACTGAAAAAACTTAACACCAAAAAAAAAAAAAAAAGCCAAACAACCCAATCAATAAATAGGCTAAGGAACTGAACAGACACTTCACAGAAGAAATAGGAATGGTCAACAAATATATGAAAAAATGTTAAATGTTGACAAGCATGTGGGGAAAAAGGTACACTCATACACTGTTAGTGGGACTTCAAATTAATGCAACCTCTCTGGAAAGCAGTATGGAAATTCCTCTGAAAACTTGAAATGGAACCACCATTTGACTCAGTTATCCCACTCCTCATAGTATTCCCAAAAGACTTAAATCAGCATACTACAGAGATGCATCCACATCAATGTTTATAGCAGCTCAGTTCACAATAGCTAAGCTATGGAACTAACCTAGGTGTCCTTCAATAGATTAATGGACAAGGAAAATGTGATATATATACACAATGGTATATTACTCAACCATAAAAAGGATGACTTTATGACTTTTGCCGCTAAATGGATGGATCTGGAGACTATCATGCTAAGTGAAATAAGTCAATCCCAAAAAAACAAAGGTCAGATGTTCTCTCTGATATGTGGATGCTAACACATAACAGAGGGGAGAAC